ATGTTCTTAGCAGCATTATTTGTAATAGCCAGAACCTGGAAGCAACCTAGATGCCCCTCAACTGAAGAGTGAATAGAAAAATGTGGTACATTTACACAATGGAGTATTACTCAGCAGAAAAACAATGGAATCTTGAAATTCGCAGCTAAATGGATGGCACTAGAAGAAACCATCCTGAGTGAGGTAACCCATACACAAAAAGACAAACATGGTATGTACTCACTAATATTGGATTTTAGACATGGATCAGGATAGTGCCAGTCTGCACTTCCACTGACAGAGAGTCTGGGAAACAGGAAAGAACCTAAAAGAGATATGCATGGTAACCCAGAGAAGAGGAATGAGGCAAGATCTTCTGAACAGATTAGGAACAAGGCTAGGGGTGGGGGGAGTGGGAAGAAGAGAGGGGGAGAAGAGGAAGAGAGAGTAGGTCATGGGGGAACAGGAAGGTTGGGGGGGTAGAATAGGGGGAAGAGGGAATCATAGGTGAGAAGACAGATCTGGCAACAGTGTGACCTCTAGTGATCTAAAGGGATGACACCAACTGGGAAGCTAAGCAATAGTTAAGAGACCACCTTGAATGCTCATTCCTGATAATGAACTTGATGTCTACAACCATTCTGGAGCCTTCATCCAGTGACTGATGGAAGTAGAGGCAAACACCCACAGTTAAACACTGAACCAAACCCAAGGAACCCAGTGACAGAGAGAGGAGTGATGGCAAATTGGCAAAGAATGGGCTGGCAAAACCAGCAGAGACAGCTGGTCTGAACAGGGGAGAGCTCTTGGACCCAGACCGACAGCTGGGAGGCCAGCATGGGACTGATCCAGACCCCCTGAATGTGAAAGTCATTGAGGAGGCCTGGGCAACCTATGGGACCCTGGGCAGTGCATCAGTGTTTATCCCTGGCATACAAACAGACATTGTGTGTCCATAACACAAAGAGGGATGCTCTCTCAGCCTGGACTCTTAGGGGAGTGCCTGGACCCTGCCTTGAGTGAAATGACAGACTCTGGATATCCCCAATGTGGAAGGAAGTGGCGATAGGGTGGGAGGCAGGGGGGGAATGGTGGGGGTTGGGATGAGGGGAGGGAGCGGGAACTGGGATTGACATGTGAAACAAGCTATTTAAAATTAAAATAATAAAATCTTAAAAATGGGGGTAAACTGCCTGGATACACCTACACTGGAGAAAATGCCTTTATCTGTGAAGATATTAATCCATTTTTGAGAGCAGAGCCCTCGTGAGCCTCTTAAAGTTCCTACCTGCCCCTCCTACTTTTTACTGTCCCACAATGAGAACTAAATCCCAGAAGTGATTTATCTGGAGACATATTATATGTGAAAGACATTTCCTGGGGAGACCTTCACACACACATGCCTCTTGCCCCAGACAGACAACTCACACCAGATCAAAGTAAAAATTACAGTGAAGCCTAACTTCACGAATCTATGAATTTGTTGAAGCTATTTCTTTGTAGGAATATAGGAGACGGGTTACCAACAGAAACAGAGATGAGAATGTTTCAATTTAGAAGAAACTCCTATACAACAGGATACAATGAAGCAACAAGAATAAACCCAGTGAGGCTGGGTTCCCAAAGAAAAACATTTTATTGAGTAGACCAGGAAAGAAGCAGGGCCTCTGACTGTTTTCCCATCTCTGAGTCTGATGTCAGTCTCCTGTCTGTTAACCCACAAATATGGGTGTGGTCTGCAAATACCACCAGTGACCAGGGCTCCCACAGTCTCTCTGTTCGACTGTGCAGGCTCAAATATGCCAAGAAGATTTTATAAATTTAAACCAAAGTTAATAGCTGCAGAAGTCTGAGGAAGCCTGTCTCTCTGTGTGTCAGCTTCCAGAGGCTTTACAACTGAAGAAGAAGCTTTGAACTATCAATGACAACTCTACAAAGATGGCTTTCTTGGCTGTTAATCCTTTAGGGCAGTGGGGTCTCCACAGTAGACCTACAACCATCTTCTTATCCCATAAACAGATTATGTGAAATGTGTGTTATTGAGCCTCAGCCCATAGCTGCCAAGCTAGAAACTATGGAGGTGAAGCCCAGGCACCTGTTTCTTTACAAGTTCCCAAGGCAATCCTGCACTTGCTAAGGCCTTTGAATCACTGCTCTAATAAAAACAAAGAAGTAGTAAAACAAAATCATCACTAACCATTGTAACTACCCATATAAATACTCAGTAAATAACCAACAAGTGAAGTTCATCTACAGTATCACAATGGTGCTTCTAGGTACCAATATATCAATCCCTTCATTTCCAAAGATCTGAGTAACATCCAGCTAATACAAACCACACGTGGCCTAATTCAGATGGACTGAATGAATCACTTGGAATCTTGGGTAGAGTTATCTGTGTGGGATCTTCCCAGCTTCCTCTTCCCATTTATCATGCCATCACTGGACCTGGATAACAGTGTTCTCCAGTTCAGGGTTATATAGAGTGTCGTCCTGTACTTTTGGAGTAGAAATCCGACTCCCAAAGAGAACTTGCTCCATGACTGAATGTGACTTGACCACAAGACAGTATTAATTTGCACGAGGAGTGATACCTATTTCAGTGAAAGTTACTAAGATGTACATGATTTATTTCTCAAAACTTAATTCACATCTTGTTACAAGCTAATCAACAATTTCTGCCTTTACAAGCTCTCATGTGAATTATGGCCTTTGGATAATTTTGATGTCAATGTCAGTTCATATTTTGGGACTAGTGTGCAGTACTGGAGAAGATGGTGAATATAGGGAAGCTGCATGGGAGTGGTATCAGTGCTTATATGGGAAATCTCTGTCCTCAATTTTGTTGTGAATCTAAAATTACACTTAGAAGTCTTTTAAATTTAAACCACTCTTTAAAAGGGACATTGCATATGAATCTCCTGAGTGCACGGTGCAAATGCAAGCTCTGTTTGTGGGTGAGGGTTAATCTCCAAGTCCTGTATTCATCAGGAGTCCCTAGAGATGCCCATGCTGCTGGTCCACAGACCACATTCTAAGAACCAAGGACCCAGAAGTGTCCAGAAGACCAAAATTGAGCCTCCATTCTTGAAAATAAGTTTGATAAATATTAGGTGACTGACAAGTACAAAAGTGAAAACATATCTGGATACATGTTTGCTAAGGAAAACTGGAAATTTTTACTGTGTTGAGGTAGATTAAGAGGAGGACAGAGGGGTCTGGAGAGATGGCTCAGGGGTAAAAACACTGGCTGTCCCCCCATGGGACACAGATTTGGTTCCCACCACTCACATCAGGCAGCTCACAACCATCTGTAACTTCAGTTCCAGTTGTCTTCAGGCTTCCATGGGCCTCATGAATGTGGTGCACATACAAGTAGGCTAAAGACTCATATGCATAAAATACACAAATCTAATTTTTTTGAAAGGTGGTGAAAAATGGTGATTCTTCAATCATCTTTTGTGTAAACCAATAATGAAACACTTAATTCTAGCTCATATTTTTCTTGCTTTCATTAGTTTGCAAACAGTATATTTTATGATATTAAGATTCAAAATCTTCAATACTTAAAATAGTTTATGATTTTATTTGGGGAGATGATAAAATTAATTTTGTAAAATATATTGTTTGATGGTTTCATAATGCATGTAATTTTTAAATCAAATCTAACTCTCCAGCTTTTTCACTGGAACAAACACTACCTGGCTTGTTACAATTACAGAATTTAAGAATAATAAAAGGTATATTTCTTCTTATAATGCAATCAATCATAATTTATCCTTAGACTATTCAGTGTTCTTTAGTTTTCCAGAATAATTCTCTAGCTTTTTTCTTTTTTCTCAAGCTTCAGTTTGCTGCTGAGCTTGCCTGCACCCTCCTGCATCCTCATCCTCCATTTTCCTGGGTCATCTTACATCTTCATGGTATTTAGTGTTTCAGGATTTGGCCTTCATTATGGTCTTATGTTTCTGCATCTGCAGGGTATTGGGCAAATTTGTTGAACTTTTTTATTTACATCCCAACCACAGCTTCCCTTCCCTCCTTTCTTCCCATACCCTCCCTTCACCTCCCTTTTATACCGTCCTCCCATGGATATCAACAAAACATGGCTTATCGAGTTTCAGTAGGACTAAGCACATTGCCATGTATTAAGGCTGGAGAGCATTTTGGGGTCTGGTAGAAACCTGGTGCAAGGGAAACTCTCAGGAATCTTCAAGTTTGAACCCAGCTAAGACTCCTTACAATAGATGATATGTACCCTGAAGTTTGTTGAGGGTTTTAGAAATGATATGCTAATCTATAAAATAAAAATAATGGTAGTTTCCAGTCTCAAGGTTCCTGCTCAACACAAACACAACATACTTAAAGCAAGGAGGCCAAGCTAATTCCTAGTGTGTTTTCAAGACTCTCTATAATAACAGAATGTATATAATTAATATATATGTATACACCATATATACATATATAGGGAGATTTGTTCCATAAAATATGTTTTACACACACACACACACCTATATATGAGGTCTGTTGAGAAGATTTACAGGCTACAGACCAACTAATCCTAAAATGTGAACAGAAAATGGAAAAACCCAGTGATTGCTCAGTCCACAAGGCTGGATATTATAGTTTGTCTTCAGTATACACTGGGATCCTGAAGAAGTAGGCTCTAATGTCAGTGGATGAATGAACTTGATAGCAAGGTGAGGGCAAACAAGCAAAGAGAAAAATCTTTCTTCTTCCATGTGCTTATATAGGCTTCCAGCAAAAATCATAGCCTAGACTTGTTTTTCCTTCCTCTTGTTCATTTCTATGAGGCTGCTAAGCTAACAAATTACAAGAGTAGCTCAAGATTCACCAGCTAGAGCTCACTTAACCACCAATTGAAGTGTTCTAGGAATGTAGAATGATGTTGAGCCAAGACTAGGCTTATTATAAATGTTATCACCTGAAGACAGAATTCGAGCTCACTATATCTCAATTGACTACAACAGTTAAAATGTTTATTTCTTTTATCTGCAGCTATTTCTTAAGATTATTCATATCAAATCATATAATCCCCAACTAGAAAGTTAGGTTGGTGAATAAGCATATTGTGCAATCACGCCATTCCAAGCATCCTTCAGAATGTGGGCATCTTCCTGTGTGGTTGATAGTTTGTCTGAAAATAAAATGGAAAAATAATAATCAATAGCTATATTTTCCCATCAAATATGTTGATATATTTAATTTTTTGAGAATTCATCACTTGGGTATTGAATTTACATCATTTCCATCCCTATCTCTTCCCCTTTCAATTTCTCCTATCCCCTTCCACTCTTTCTCAAATTCTTGACATTTTCTTTTTTAATAATTTGTACACACATTCACACAAACACACACACACACACACACACACACACACACACATATATATATATATATATATATATATATGCTGGACCATGAATAAATTTTTCATTCTTCTTCTTTTATTGTTAGAAGAATTAAATCATTTCTCCTTTCCATTTCCTCCCTCTAAACACTCCCTTATAACCCTCATTGCTTATTTTCAAATGACATCTTTTTCATTCTTATTGTTACAAGTGTGTGTGTGTGTGTGTGTGTGTGTGTGTGCGTGTGCGTGTGTGTGTTCCTAAATACATAATATGCAACCTGCCCATTTTATATAATCTTACTTGTATGTGTTTTCAGGGCTGACCATTCTGCTTTGGATAATCAATTGGTGTGCTCTTCTCTGGGGAAGTCTAGTTTTCCAACTCTCAATAGTCCTTGGTTGCCTCTAGTTCTTTTTAAAGTTCAGTTGACTAAATCTGAGACTGTAAGATAAGCTTGGTGTGTGACAGCCTGACACCAGATCAAGAAGAGCAAAATGAGACTTACACAAGATAAGCGCATTGTTGTAAGGTAGTTATTTCCTTTGTATTCTTTTTATTATAAAATATGTTAATTTCCTTCCAGCAGCATCAGGTAAACAGGCCGGCTTCCCGGCCTGTGCTCCAGTGCCTGCAGATCGCCTGGGACCTGCACAGAGCTCCCAATCCCGGCGGGAGCCAAGCACCCCAGACTCCGGATCTTTGCTCACACCAACGAGACCAGGAAAGGAGAGGAGGCTGGGAGTACAGGGAAGCAGCAGTTCTTCCAGCAGCATCAGGTAAACAGGCCGGCTTCCCGGCCTGTGCTCCAGTGCCTGCAGATCGCCTGGGACCTGCACAGAGCTCCCAATCCCGGCGGGAGCCAAGCACCCAGACCCCAGGTCTTCTCTCCCACCAACGAGACCAGGAAACCAGAGGACCCAGGGAGACCAGGGGAGTAGCTGTTCTGGATCAAGTACAACAGGACCCAGCATAGGGTCCAGGGGACCAGGTAAGAGGATAAGCGCCCCAGATTCCTGTTCTTCTTCTCCACCCACGGGACCAGCATTCGGACAAGGAATAGAAGAACCACCAGATTATTGGACTTGCTAGCACCCACCAAAAGGGAACTCTGGTCCCCAGACCAGTAAGGGGCTCTTTCTGCACCCACTAGAAGAAGAGATGGGAAAGAGACAATACAAAAACACAGTCAGCAACAGAAAAACAAATATGACACCGCCAGATTCTAGAGACTCCACACCAGCAAGACCCCAACATTCCAATGCGGACGAAGCAGAAGAAAACGACCTTAAAAGCACTTTCATGAAAATGATAGAGGCCCTAAAAGAGGATATTGGAAAATCCCTCAAAGAAATGGAAGAAAAAACAAACCAAAAAATGCAAGAATTGGAAGAAAAAACAAACCAAAAAAGGCAGAAAATGGAAGAAGAAATGAAGCAAAAAATGCAAGAAATGGAAGAAAAAACAAAGCAAAAAATGCAAGAATTGGAAGAAGAATCATACCAAAAAAGGCAGGAAATGGAAGAAGAAACAAACCAAGAAAATGCAAGAAATGGTAGAAAAAACAAAGCAAAAAATGAAAAAAATGGAAGAAGAAACAAACCAAAAAAGGCAGGAAATGGAAGAAGAAACAAAGCACAAAATGCGAGAAATGGAACAAAAAACAAACCAAAAAATGAAAGAAATGGAAGAAAGAACAAACCAAAAAATTCATAAAAGGCAACAAACGGACGAACAGATAAACAGAAAATTGCAAGAAGCAATGCAAACACTGCAAGGGTTGAAAACTGAAATAGAGTCATTAAAAAAAACACAATCTGAAGAAAGGCAGAAAATAGAAAAGCTGGACAAACAGACAGGCACTACCAATACAAGCATTACCAACAGAATAGAAGAGATGGAAGAGAGAATCTCAAGTGTTGAAGATACGCTAGGAGAAATGGATTTATCAACCAAAGAAAACCTTAAATCCAACAAATCCTTAACACAAAACATCCAGGAAATATGGGACACCATGAAAAGACCAAACCTAAGAATAATAGGTATAGAAGAAGGAGAAGAAATCCAGCTCAAAGGGGCAGAAGGCATATTCAACAAAATCATAGAAGAAAACTTTCCCAACCTTAAGAAAGACATGCCAATGAAGGTACAAGAAGCCTACAGAACACCAAATAGAGTGGACCACAAAAAAAAATCCCCTCGCCACATAATAATCAAGACCCCAAACATACAGAATAAAGAAAGAATATTAAGAGCAGCTAAGGAAAAAGGTCAAGTAACATATAAAGGCAGACCTATCAGAATTACACCTGATTTCTCCATGGAAACGCTGAAAGCCAGAAGGTCCTGGATAGATATTCTACCTACACTAAGAGACCACGGATGCCAGCCCAGACTACTATACCCGGCAAAGCTCTCAATCACTATAGACGGAGAAAACAAGATATTCCATGACAAAACTAGATTCAAGCAATATGTGTCCACTAACCCAGCCCTACAGAAAATTTTGGAAGGAAAACTCCAACCCAAGGAAGCTAACTACAACCAGAAAAACATAAGCATTAGAGAATCTCTCTCTACCAACAGCCAAAAGAACAAAGGGGTGAAATTCCACACATAATTCCACCAACAACAACCATCGCAAATCGAAGAAGGATGAGCAATCATTGGTCATTAATATCCCTCAATATTAATGGCCTTAACTCACCCATAAAAAGACACAGACTAGCAGATTGGATTCAAAGACAGAACCCTTCCTTCTGCTGCATACAGGAAACACACCTCACCCTTAAAGACAGACATTACCTGAGAATTAAAGGTTGGGAAAAAATTTTTCAATCGAATGGACCCAAGAAACAAGCCGGGGTAGCAATCCTAATATCTAACAAACTAGACTTTAAAATAAAATCAATCAAAAGAGATGAAGGAGGTCATTACATACTCATCACAGGTGAAACCCACCAAGAGGAAGTGTCTATTCTGAACATCTATGCCCCAAATACAAAGGCATCCACATTCGTTAAGAAAACATTATTAGAACTTAAATCTCATCTAAAGCCCCACACAGTTATAGTGGGAGATTTCAACACACCACTCTCACCACTAGACAGGAATACCAAACAGAAACTCAACAAAGAAGCAAAAGGGCTAATAGAAGTAATGACCCAACTGGGATTAACAGATATCTATAGAACATTTCATCCACATAAAAAAGAATATACCTTCTTCTCACCACCACATGGAACCTTCTCAAAAATCGACCACATACTTGGCAACATATCAAACCTCAGCAGCTACAAAAAAATTGGAATAACTCCATGCATCTTATCAGACCACCATGCTTTAAAATTAGAATTCAACAACAACACAAATTGCAGAAAACCTGCAAACTCATGGAAATTGAATAATGCTCAACTGCACCATCCCTGGGTCAAAGAGGAAATAAAAAAAGAAATTAAAGACTTCCTCGAATTCAATGAGAATGAAGACACAACATACCCAAACCTATGGGACACTTTGAAAGCAGTGCTACGGGGGAAGTTCATAGCGCTAAATGCTCACATGAAGAAACAGGAGAACAGTTATACCAGAGAATTAACATCACAGCTGAAAGCTCTAGAACACAAAGAAGCACACTCCCCAGGAGGAGTAGACGCCAGGAAATAATCAAATTGAGGGCTGAAATCAATAAAGTAGAAACCAGGAAAACAATACAAAGAATCAACGCAACGAAGAGTTGGTTCTTTGAGAAAATCAACAAGATAGACAAACCTTTGTCCAAACTTACCAAACAGCAGAGAGTGAACACGCAAATTAACAAAATTAGAAATGAAAAGGGGGACATAACAACAGACTCTGAGGAAATCCAGAGAATCATTAGGTCATACTTTGAAAACCTGTACTCCACAAAATTCGAAAATTTAAAGGAAATGGATGACTTCCTGGACAACTATCAATTGCCAAAACTAAATCAAGAACAGATAAGCAATTTAAATAGACCTATAACCCCTATGGAAATAGAAGCTGTCATCAAAAGTCTCCCAACCAAAAAAAGCCCAGGTCCAGATGGCCTCAGTGCAGAATTCTACCAGAAATTCAAAGAACAGCTTATACCAATTCTTCTCAAAGTGTTCCACACAATAGAAGCAGAAGGGTCTTTGCCAAACTCTTTCTATGAGGCTTCAATAACCTTGATCCCCAAGCCACACAAAGATACAACTAAGAAAGAGAACTTCAGACCAATATCCCTCATGAACATTGATGCAAAAATACTCAATAAAATACTGGCAAATCGGATCCAAGAACACATCAAAACAATCATTCACCACGATCAAGTAGGTTTCATCCCAGGAATGCAGGGATGGTTCAACATACGAAAATCCATCAACGTAATCCACCATATAAACAAGCTGAAAAACAAAAATCACATGATCATCTCACTAGATGTTGAAAAAGCCTTTGACAAAATCCAACACCCCTTCATGATAAAGGTCTTGGAGAGATCTGGGATAACAGGGACATACTTAAACATAATAAAAGCTATATACAGTAAACCAACAGCCAACATCAAACTAAATGGACAGAAACTCAACGCAATTCCTCTAAAATCAGGAACAAAACAAGGCTGTCCACTCTCTCCATACCTTTTCAACATGGTACTTGAAGTTCTAGCTATTGCCATAGGACAACAAAGGGGGATCAAGGGGATACAAATTGGGAAGGAAGAGGTCAAACTTTCACTGTTTGCAGACGATATGATAGTTTACATCAATGACCCAAAGAACTC